TCAGAATTTGGAATTAGAATCAGGAATTGAATTTCAATTATGAAGGATTCATGTGTTTGCTTCATATTAAGGAATTAAAAGTAAAGGGGCCCCACTCAAAATAATGAGGAATTCAATTTTGGTTATTTTGGGTGGGAGATAGTATTCTAATTTCGAGAACTAACTCATTAGGAATTCATCTTTTTAATCTATTATATCCTCACACAATTTTAAAATTTTAAAATTTGTCATTTACTTTAACCCAACAACGAGGACATTTTAATAATTAACATCACTCATACCCTAATTTCATATGATTTAATAAACAATTTCAATTAGAATCCTCAATCTTATTATCCTCAATCCAACTCTTCATCAATTCAATTCATCTTAATTCGATAAACATGATCTAGTCACGGATACTTTTTTGACAAGTCCAAAAAGTAGTAGGACACCTATTTCCTCCAATCACAGGTGAGCCCAACCACAACAACATAAAAGACCAAAATCCCAAACTGGACTTAAAGCCTGGTCCACACCAACCACATTGTTTCAAGTCTTCTTGGCAGGGAACATTTCGTACATAAAATAATAATTTCGTGAATTTAAAGGACCATTTGTTAATATAACCCATTATATTATTATCCAAAAACCCTATGAGGTTGCTCATTTACTTCCCAAAGCCAACTTAGTAGAGTCCTAAAAACATATCTAATCCTTTTTTTGGTGAATTTGTCATACTAAGAAATTTGAAAAATTATGGAAATATTCAACAACCAATATATGCTTTGCAGTGCAAATATTGAAAAAAAAAAAGAGAAAAAAAAAACAAAAAATTATCAAGTTTGATTAATGACGAAGAGGAATATTACATAAACAGGAGAAATAAACAGTCCCATCATTTCAATTACTACAACCATAAGAATAAATTTATTCTTCCATTATTTGGACACTAATTGTGACCAATAAAGATACTGAAATCGTTTCAGAAGAAACTAAAAGGTACATTACATGTCTGCGGCAACACGTTTGTACAAATGCGAGGGGAGCCTTGGAGTAGGCACGGCTTGTAATGGGGTTCTCATGTAAGTCACTAGCCCTGGATTTTCCGACATGTCAATCTCCTTTGGATTCATCCCTTCAGCTGGAGCCCAACTGAAATGGTGCAATAGATGCCCCAACATGGACACCACCAAATTCACACTAAGTTGTGCTCCCGGGCATACTCGCCTACCGGCTCCAAACGGAAGTAGTCTGAAATCATGCCCCTTCATGTCAACATCCTCCTCTAGGAACCTTTCTGGTCGGAACTCATGCGGGTCTTTCCAAACAGCCGGATCACGCGCTACGGCCCAGACATTTACATGAACACTCGCACCCTTGGGGATGTCGTAGCCACCGATCTTGACATGGGCATTAGCTCGGTGGGGGAGCATTAGAGGAGTTGGAGGGTGCAACCGCAACGCTTCCTTTGCTACACATTGCAGGTAAGGGAGATTTGAGAAATCGTCTTCGGTCATTACCCGTTCGAACCCGATGACTCGGTCTAGCTCCACTTGTGCCTTTTCTTGCACCCTCGGGTTCTTAATCAACTCAGCCATAGCCCATTCAACTGAAATAGCTGTGGTGTCTGTGCCCGCAGTAATCATGTCCTGCATGCACAAATGGTATAATTAACTAGGTTAGAATGTAGGATCCTTATAGATATGTATAGTGTTTTCAGAAATGTATACGCCCTCCAAGGTAGGAAGCTCACATAATAGGAAAAAATAACTCTTATTTTAGAAATGTCAAATTGAAAAGACTGCATGTATACATTACTTACCCAAAGAAGTCCGATAATAGTGTCTTCACTAAGGTCATACTTGTCCTTCAATGTAAGCAATGCATCGACAAAATGCTGCTTGGCACCGCCACTCTTGGTGCGAGCCTGTGTGTGCTCCTCCATGATTGCCCTAGTGAGTCGGTCTCTTCGTGCCCCATGCTGAGCAAACGCCTCTTCCTCCAGCGGGAACATCCAACGTAGCCATGGAATGTGCTCGGCCATCGAAAGCGATGCACCGATCTTCACTCCATTAGAGACAACAGCTTTGAATTCTTGGCCTTGCTCATCCATTTCATCCTGTGAGTTAACAAAACGCTTTCCGAATGCTAGCCTTGTTATGTTGTTGAATGCCACCCTTCCCAAATAATTCTTCACTAGCAAACTTTCCCCATTTTTTTCTGCAATATGGTGATTAATTAAAGTTAATCCCAAATTCACAATTAATACACATTTAAGTATGCAAACTAATAAAGTAGCATTGAATCCAATCATATGTAACAATAAATATGAAAGTCAATACCAATCAATCAACCTCAAGTACTTCCTCTCAGAAAACTCAACTTCGACTATAGATATGCGAGTGTAATATGAATTAATGAACGATGACATAAACACGTGGTATAACATGAGTGAATTATAAACACGTGGTATAACATGAGTGAATTATATCGGTGTAGACAATTAAAAAAGTACAAACTGCAAATGACATTTGAAAAACTAGCCTAGGCAAGCAATTTGGGAACATAAAATGCATACCATGAATGGCACAGTGCTTGAAAATGGACTCAACCATAGCAGTGACCTCATCTTCCCTAATGGGTCTGAGAGCTTCAATCCTCTTTGCAGAGAAAAGCTCAAGAGTGCACACCTTCCGGACCTTAACATAGTGGGGCCCATAGTCAGCCCAAATGAGGTCCTGGCCATCCTTGCTAAACTTGGCGGTTGATCTATTCCTTTGCCTATCAGCCAGTTTCTGGTCCTGCTCTTTGAGCACCTCCTTTGCCAATTCTGAGCTCGACACTACAACGTTGAGTGTGGATCCAGTCCACACTGAAATGATGGGCCCGTAGATCTGGGCCCACTCCGCGTAGCACCGGAACCTCACGGGCTTTATTTGGTAGAGGTTTCCAACGACTGGCCACGGACGTGGGCCGGGCGGGAGCTTAAATCTCAGCCTTTGAGAGAGCTTGTATGCAAGGAAGATGAAGATGAGGAGGAGTAGTAGTCCAGAGAGAGCCATGTGAAGTGAGAAACACTGAGATAGAGACTTTGGAGAAGTGATTTTGTTTTGAGTTGTGGATGCGTGGAGTAAGGAGAGACGCAGAGACGAGAGAGAGAGAAAGGGTGGGCGAGCAATTTAAAGGCACATTCAATTGGACGACGTGGTTACCGCGTGATATTTACTCAACTTAATTATGCAAATTGACGACCTCAGCTTGGACAACACTTACCCCTTCTTAGATGGTCGCCAACTCACATTCTCTATTGGATGTCGTTCGAGATGGGGTGGTAGGTAGCTAGAGCACCCCAGAGCGTCCCATCTCAACTACAAGTCTACTGTAGACAAGTCAATGGGCTTCTTCTTTTTACATCTGCACGCAAAAAAACAATAAAAAAAACACACAACATAACCACCAGAAAAAAAAAAAAAAAAAAACCACCAGAACTCAAATGATATTTCCAGATATTTCTTCCTTTACACAAATCACAGCATTTTCATCTGTACAAAAAAGACTGTCTGGTAAGGAAGGTGATGTTGGATCAAAAATTAAAGTAGAAACGATCCCATCATGGGGGGTAGGAGCGAAATAGCAAATATGATTGTTAAGGCGATGGTAACCTTCCAAAGTTGAGTTAGGATTGCGTTGCCACATTAATCCAGGATGCAAACCCGTCACACAGGATGTGCGGGTTGGGCGACCGTACAAGACCCCCTGAAAAAAGAGCCCCCTATAAAACCTTGTAGTCCAATAATTATTATATAAGCAAAAAATGCCTTTTCTGTTGTCTGGTTGATGCTTTTTGAGCTTTATCATGAACTTTTTGGGTCTTTTTATTTTTTTCATATAGTGGGCCTATTTTATTTATTTATTATTTTGGTCATAAAGAGAATCCATTTATAAGAAAAGAAATATATGGCAAAATAATAATAAGAAGACATACAAAATGGTAGTTACATCATAGTAGCTTAATATAATTAGTGGTGTGTTTATTAATCACAATTTGGAATTAGAATCAGCAATTGAATTTCAATTATGAATGATTCATGCATTTACTTCATATTAAGAAATAAAAAGTAAGAGGGCCCCACACAAAATCATGAGGAATTCAATTATTGGGTGGGAGATAGTATTCTAATTCATCGAGAACTAACCCATTAAAAATTTATCTTTTTTATCCCTTGTATATTTTAAAAAATTTCAAATTTGTCATCTACTTTAACTAAACAACGAGGACATTTTAATAATTAATACCACTCATACCCCGATTTCATATAGTTTAGTAAACAACTTTAATAGGAATCTGAAATTTAATTATACTCAATCCAACTCCTCCTCAATTCAATTCATCATAATTTAATAAACATGCCATAAATTTAAAGGATCTAGGCATGGATACTTTTTTGACAAGTCCAAAAAGTAGTAGGACACCTATTTCCTCCAATCACAAGTGAGCCCAACCACAACAACACGAAAGACCAAAAGCCCAAACTAGACTTAAAGCCTGTTCCACACCAACCAGAGTGTTTCTGTCAAACCCTAGCAAACAATCCATAGCCATGTGTGCCATGGCTGCACTGCCTTGACCTACTTCTTTTACTTAAACTAACCAACTTAGCATCTAAATGTGAAATTTTTTATTGTTGTACAAAAGCAGCTAGTTTTGAATATAAAAAGAACGACCTCAATTTTTATTTCATGTATGGGACTTACAAAATCAATGGACCGATAGTATGATTAGGATCCACAAAGTCGATAAGGAAATAATTGCCTAAACTAGGTTCTACCTTAACCTTATCCTCAGGGATGTCCTCATACTGAGATAGAGGTGAATAGATTTTTGGATGAGTGGATTAAAGAGAGACGACGAGATGCTTGAATGCAAATTAGGAATACTATTTTTCTTGAAAAATTCTTGAAGGAATAATAACAAACATATTTTAATGCAAAGACTATAACGGCGGAACATGTTTTGATTCGTTATGGGACTTAATGACCCAATAGGGATAGAGAGATAATAAAACTCTTTTTTTCTTTCTTTTCAAAAACCAAAACTTGAAGAAGAAACTAAAAGTCACATATCTGCAGCCACACGTTTGTACAAGTGCGATGGAAGCCTTGGAGTAGGCACGGCTTGTAATGGGGTTCTCATGTAAGTAACAAGTCCTGGATTTTCCGACATGTCAATCTCCTCTGGTTTTGCCCCTTCCGCCGGGGTCCAACTGAAATGGTGCAGTAGATGCCCCAACATGGAGGTCACCAAGTTGATGCCAAGTTGGGCTCCCGGGCATACCCGCCTACCCGCCCCAAACGGAAGTAGTCTAAAATCATGGCCCTTCATGTCAACGTCCTCCTCAAGGAACCTCTCGGGCCGGAATTCATACGGGTTTTTCCATACCTCCGGATCACGCGCTACGGCCCAAACGTTCACGTGAACGTTGGATCCCTTGGGGATGTCGTAGCCACCGATCTGGACATTGGCATTGGCTCGGTGAGGGAGCATCAACGGGGTTGGAGGGTGCAACCGCATGCCTTCCTTTGCTACACATTGTAGGTAAGGGAGGTTTGAGAAATCGGTTTCGGTCATGACCCGTTCGAACCCGATGACCCGGTCTAGCTCCTCTTGGGCCTTTTGTTGCACTCTTGGGTTCTTGATCAGCTCGGCCATGGTCCATTCAACGGTTATGGCTGTGGTGTCCATGCCTGCAGTAATCATATCCTGCACAAAATTTTGAGTGCTGACATTGTTAAATTTCTACCATATTAATTTGGTTTTATTTTGTATCCCAAATAATAATTTTTATTCGTCCATAACAATTATATTAAAAAAAAAACTACAATATTTTGTATGTTACTACTTACCCAAAGAAGTCCAATAATAGTGTCCTCGCTAAGGTCATACTTGTCCTGCAATGTGAGCAATGCATCTACAAAATGTTGCTTGGCACCACCACTCTCGTTTCGTGCCTGTGTGTGCTCCTCCATGATTGCCCTAGTGAGCCGGTCCCTTCGTGCCCCGTGCTTGGCAAATGCCTCTTCCTCGAGCGGGAACATCCATCGCAACCAGGGAATGTGCTCGGCCATGGCAAGCGATGCACCAAGCTTGAGTCCATTGGCTACAATGGCCTTGAACTCTAGCCCTTGCTCATCTATTACGTCCTCTGAGTTAACAAAACGTTTCCCAAATGCTAGCCTTGTTATGTTGTTGAAAGCCACTGCTCCCAAATACTTCTTCACTAACAAACTTTTCCCATTGTTTTCTGCAATATGGTAATTTAAGTCAATAACAAATTACAATCATATCATCTGACATTTAATATTAATTACTGCTCCCAAATACTTCTTCACTAAAAAAAAAATTGACCAAATTGTGATGAATATTTCTATGCATATATATTACTGTCACACTAGTACTATAATTTTGTTTAATCAAAATTAACTATGTGAATTTTTCTATAAATCAAAGTTATACAGTGCCTTTTTTATTATAAATAAATAAATAAATTGCAGCACACAATTTATAGTTAAAAAAATAATTGATTATTTAATCGAAATAGCATTTCTATACATGAGTTTAGCCAAATTAGATAGAGCGAATTACTTCCCATTCTACACTCGAATTCAAATCCTCTATCCCATAAATTAAATTAGATTAAAATAGAAGATCGAGTCCGCGGTACTTATTTCACTCAAGATATGTATCCAAATGGCATGTGGCACATTGTTGAAGCTCATGGAAAGGACAAACGTGACAAAGCACGAATATACATAACTTACAGCAAGACAAAACCAAAGTGGACAAAATAGGCTTCAAGAATCAAAATAAGAGCTTATCGTTTGACTTTTCTTTTTCTTTCTTCTTTTTTACACCACCTCCTCCTACCTAGTTGACTAACTTTAAAAAAAAAAAAAACCAACATATACTGATAAGGAAAGAATCAAACCAAAAAAAAAAAAAAAAAATATACTGAAAATTTTCAATTCGACTTTTTTGAATATA